AAGCGTTACTCAATTCCATGTTCCTAAAACTTTGGGCAGCAAGTAAAGAGCAAGAGTGGGAGAGATGAAAAGTTACAACTAATGGGAATTTCCAACCTTCTCAGCCATCACAAGACCAAGTTTATTTAAAAACATCATCATGTTGAAGAGTTACAATTAAAGAGCACTTCCAACCAATTCAACTATCACATGGTCACGTTTGCACTTTGCACACATCATCAACAGGACAAAACCTCTCTGATAGCAACAATCTCTATTCTGCTATAGTGCCAATTCAACTATCGCGTGGTCACGTATGCACACATAATCAACATGCCAACAAGACCACGCATCAGCTGAACTGCAGCACTGAGTAGTTTCTGTCCCCCCGCCACCCTTGTTCCCACAAAGAAAAATCAATTCCCACATAATTGGGTAGTTGTCAATAGTGCCAATCATCTTGGAGACTTGTTTATCCATAGAAAAATATCAAAATATAATATGACAGAGCAAAACCCCCCAATACAGAGTTTTTAATAAAGGATGCTAGGATACGATAATTCACAAGCCTACAAAGTTCTAATGTGCAATAAACAATGATGGGAATAGAAGGGTAAATGAATAATACGATAAACTGGAGAAAAACAATCAGCAGAAAATGAATAGATGCACCATAAGGTGAAAATGAGATGGTGCTCAAATGCTTATATAATAAATGGGAATCTTTTTTTCTGCACCAGGGTTGGGTGGGTAAGGTTTTACAACATGCAACAACTATCATCATCCACAGAAGTTACAACTGATATCCATGTTACAGGATAACACAATAACCTTATAGAAGTGCATATATCATATTATGGCACATCAAATGCATTTCCAAGAGGAAACTTAAGTAAGAAGTACACTCACCCTGACAATATCTCCAACCTGCAACTTTTTCCAGGGAATACTTTCCCATTTTTGATCTTGCAAGACATCAACAGAAGCATTATTTATGGTCATATCATTCTGGAAGCGCTTCTGTTTAACATAAATTCAAAATAAAAAGATACTTAGTTAAACATTCATCCTCAGTTTCATACTTAACTGCATAAAAATAATAGATAAAACTTCAAATCACAGCTATCACACACACACACACACACACACACAGATTTGATATTGGAAATACAGAAAAACAAAAAAGGTAAAAATCAAGGCTGCAGGATATAATAAGCAGACCGGTACTCACCCAATCCTCAAATGCTTCCTTAACAAGAGAAACAAAGAGCACCAAACTCAGAGGGACCACATTGGTTACAGGATGCACAGGACTGCAATATTACACATACTTGAAAACGTTATGCTTAGAATTTAACAACTATTATAAATTATTACAGTGAATCAGTTGTAGTCAGTACCCTTCAGATTCAGTGAAGCCAAAGCAAATTTGTAAGTAATATTTCCAAAGTGCACATAAGTGTGCTAATAACAAATAAAAGAACCCAAACTGAAGAAAATAGGGTGCAAACATCTCTCCTTTATGTTTGGAAACTAAAAACAAACTTCCACTTAATAATGTGCATAACTGAATGCAAAAAATAAACAAAAAAAATGGCATCTCTTATACTCAGGTGCACATTTTCCCCTTCATAAAGGTTCTACCCCTACACATATACTGGTTTTCATGTTAAGACTTTGTAATATAACATTACAAGATAAGTACCAAACCAAATAAAGTTAAAATACCTGATTGGCGTTGTTGATAGAATTGAGATCGTAAGAAAGTACAGGTTAGCTACCCGCCTGAACTGTCAGTGTAAACAAACAATTTCTCAGGACCATAACAAAATAAAATCATAGGTGTTGGCAACTCTAGTCAATTTGTTTTATGCATATGTAACCCATCACAGAATGATATTCCTACACTTCACTACAAACAAAACAGATAAGCTTTGAACTGCATCAGCAAGCAGGTTGATTTAAAACTAAAGTCAAATTCATTGAAATTGCCCTTAATTTTAAGATTTTCAACTTTATCCACCAGGGGAATGCATCTCCTATAAACTTTTCTTATCCATCTAGTCTAGTTGTCAATACTCCAAAACAACCATAATAAGATTTAGTACACAAGCTATGGTTCTAACTTCTTATTTGGTTGGGTCAGAAATTGCCGCACCGAATCATATTATAACTTTACATTCTAATATAATCATATTCATCTATGTAGTTCAAAGGCCCGTGAATTACCTGTTCAAAGAGTCCTTTTGGCAAAAAAGTAAAGAAGTTGTACTTTGTAGTTGATATAGAATTCCCCTGGAACAATTGAATGCATAATAGTTAAAACCGTATACAAACAAAACGATGTAAGATTTAAAGTAGCAGATAACAGAACATAGATTATATATCCTATAGGTTTATAGTCAAACAACCTGTTGATGGTACATGGTGGAGCTAAAACAAAATCCTGAAAATATCCACTGTGCTAGTCAAATATTCTAGATTCTGTTATGCCAAATCCTAATCTACTGTTCTGGGATCCAGATAAAAAGTGGGGAGCTAACAGCCTAACACTCTACAAGAACAATAGTGAAGCCTCAATCAACCACAATGAGCGGAAAACTACCCACATTGATACTTCTATACAGGCGGATAATCTTGCTTGCCTATCTTTATTCCTTTTTGTTGGTAGCAGAATCCAAAAAATAATTAAATAAATTAGAAAAACACAAACACTTAAAGCAGCTTAAATTTACTTCCACAACTGCATTGCGCTTTGCATGAACATTGATCATTCCTTAGAACCATAAGGAAGCTTCATGTAGCATAAACAGCATTTTTAGCATTAAATTTTTTTTTTCCGTTACAGAAACCCTAATCTCTTCAATACCACACTATCCACTAAAAACCGACAATAACTAACCGCAACTAATTCAACGGAGAAAAAAAATAACGAAAGCAGTGAAGTTCCAATTTTCCTGGACGTTAACTGAAGAAAATCAACAATCCAACATTTCAATTTCGATTATATTCTCTCCTAATTTTCTCGGAACCCAAACAGAAAATACAGTAAACGGAGAATATGAGGACAATAGGTAGAAAAATCGAGTCACCTACCGAGAATCTGACTGGAATGTTAGCCTCGCGATCGTTGCAGAAAATAGTGCGGTGACCCGGCGCCTGTGGCTGGACTCTCCCGAGCCGAACCGTCCGAGTCGTCGACGTCCGCTCGGGCTGCGAACTCGAATTGCGACCACCCAGCCTCGCTCCTCTCGAGGACCGATTCCACCCACTCATCTTCGGCCCGATCCAAACTCAAACGACGAGTCGTCTCCAAAGAATAATCTCCGATCGGACCCTCAATCGTCCACTCCCCTATTTCTCGCCGGTAAAAGGTGGTTCAAAACGCTTCGTCCAACGGTGCCGGAGGAAGTGCGTCCGTATTCAACGCCCCCTCAAACCTGCTTTCATTTTTCTTCCTTTTTTTTGTGTTTGAATTTTCTTTTTCGCGTAGACCGTGAATGAGGTAATTTCTCAGCGCGAGTACTCTGTGCGCGTATGGCGAGATCTGGCGGCTTTCTAGATGTGGTGACTGGTGAGGAACCGAGGAGAAGGACTGTGACCTGACGCGCGAGTGGGAGCGTGGTGTTTGAAGGGTTAATACCTTAAGCGCAAAGCAGGACCTGGTTCTCCCAAATTTCTATGCGGCGTCGTTTGGTTCGCCGTTGGTAAATGTAACGGTTAGTTCAGACTCGGAAGAAGACGCGGGTCGTGGCGGTCTTGGGGGCCTGGGGCGGTTGACGGACTTTTCTAACTACCCCTTTACGTTAGATTTTATGGGGCACATTTAGGATTTAATACCATTTTTTATAAGATGATTTAATAGCATTTTTAAACCTTTTTATTTTTGTATTTACAAGGCTCTTGCCACATAGAAGAAAAACTTGTGTGAGACTTCTAGTGGATTTTGCTGAGTGACACTACAATCTAGTCAAAACTTATCATCTAATAAGTTTAAAATAGAGTACCATTTTATCATTTTTTTTATTTTAAAATTTTCATAAGCATCTCTTGTGGCAAATTTTATTTATTTTTTATAAATATATATTTTTAAAAGAATAACACTAGAGAGATCAAAATTTTAAACGAACTTGCAAATTAAATGAGATGTCACCAATAAGAATGAAGTATGTTAATCGATACTTAATCAATAATCTAATCATCTATATACACATCGTTTGGTTTAAAAAATTTAATCTTGCTAACATTACTCCTTGAAAAATAATGAATTTATATGCAACCCACAGTCTCTATACGTAATTTGGGTCTATTACATTTAGTAAAAATTTCCATCATATTCATGTGATTTAACTGAAAATGTCAAGTAAATTATTACCTTGCCTGTGACTATTTTGGTCTACAATTGTTGCAAAAACCTTATCTTAAATCTCATAAAACCTCAATTAAATAAGAGCATTAATTTTTACAGTCGAAGTTACAAATTTTGAATTCTATTTGCCCTATTACTTGTATGAAAAATGCTTATGAACAATAGTCATTCGGATAAAAATAAAGGAAAACGAATGAAAAATGCTTGAAAACTTTGAGTTTTAACGATAAGAACAAAATAAAGGGTAAAGTGAATAGTATTAGGATTAACTTTTTAATGTAAAAATATGATTTTTCGTTAAAGTAAATAGTACCAGGAATTTTTCGTTAAAGTTTCCTTAAAAATAAAATTAACCCTATTATTGCTTGTACTATTATTAATTTATCTCCATATAAAAAAAATTTTAAAATTGAATTTCTCATTTATTTGTTACGAGGCCAACTTCTTTGTGCAACTTTTGTTTGTTGGGCTTTGGGCCTAACAATTGTCCCCCCTTTCTTTGTCACTAGGCCCAACTTGTAAACAAATGTGCTCTCCCACGTCAATGTCTTTTCCCTGTACTCACTGCTCAGTGGGTATTTACATCAAATTAAAAGGATGGTAGCTGAAGTTCTAAGCTGAAAAACATTATATCCCAGCGAGAAAAATAGGATTCCAGAAAGCTGAACTAATTTTATTTAATTAATGTTGTTTCAGCTTAATAACAAATCATCAATGTTATATCAACGTTTACACAAGACGTGACGAGAGTATCGAAAATATAGAACAAGCAGCATTCTTTTACAAGAACATTGCTAATTGCCCCGGGGGGTTTTGTTTCGGTATTTATACGGAGAAGAATATGTAGCCTGCTATAGAGGCGCGATGATACACGAAGTTAAAAGTTCGATTTGTCAACACACAAACACATGGAGATGTTTAGTTACATTACTAACTTAAGCTGCATTGTAGACGGAAATGATCACAACTCCATGCCTGATGTAGGGTGTGAGGAGGAGGTCTTCGTTGATTTAACATAACGCGGTATACTTTTTTAGACAGCTGCTGAAGGAGGAAGCGTTCCCTTTGTGCTTTTATTCCCAGTTTGAAGACGAGTTTTCTAGGCTATGTTGTTCTATCGAAACCACCACCAACCTGCATATGCAACCACTCGGGTGAATTGCCGCGGCTATATTCCCTTCGAGGCTGTGTACCGAAAGCCATTGCAGCACTATCGAATGTTTGTTGACCGAACTGAAATGATAAAATTGATCTGTTATAAGAATGGCAATCCATAAAATAGAGGAATGAATCAACTCCCACCAACACATCAGTATTTTTCGGCTTTTGTTTCTTAACCCAACATAAGATTCACATTCACCAATAACTTGGACTCTTAACTCATGGATTCCTATTGTGATCGATATGGTAGCTTCATCTAGGAGAAATGCGTGCGTGAATGTGAACAGAGTTCTGATGAAAGAGAACGAAACTGTGGTCCAAAATGTTGACAGACATTTTCAAAACACAGAAATCTGGTTTTCCGTCATTAAAATGGACAACGATGGATAACAACACAGACGGGCAACTTCACATAGTCATATTGCTTCGGTTTTACTTTACCGACTTTCAAATAAGACGACTGACATGTACATGTTTAGACTGATGAATTTGATGTGTGCAATAATACATGGCATATGGAAAAAAAGTTGGAAAAAGAAAACAAGAAGGTACTACGATGAAGCACTCAGAGAGAAAAAAGCGAGGTGAAAGCGATTTTAAACGCTTAACAACTGCATATAACCTATAGACTTACATCTTTAGCAGGAAACGCCTCAATTCCACGGTTCATTCTTGTACTAACTGCTTCAAGCTTCATCGACAGGAACTGCAACATCCCGAACATGGACAGTGCTCGAGCCTAAGTTGCATGTTGAAAAATTCATAGTAAAAATGAAGAACGACTGCAAATTATAAACATATTCATACCTCAACCTGCCGCTGTAGCGATTGGATGTAATTAATTATCTCATCAAGCACAAGTGCTTTTCCAATAACCTGAATCGGATAACTTACCATATCAGCAGTTTTCTACATGTTAATCCAAGGCGGAAACCAACTCGGTAAAATAAAAACCGAAAAAAATTCCATGAGCGCTATTTCGAACATATTAGATGCAACTGGTAGTTGACTAGTAGATGAATTTATTAAGAGGATGGCCATACCCTACCTTGTTACAACCAGGGACCAGATCTTGGAGGATTTTCATCCTCTCGCTTATCTTCTCTCTTCTAGCCTGTCCACCACATATTTCCAAATTTTCAGTCAGTATCTATCATTTAATAGCTCAAAAAGATTGTTCGAAAATTCAACCAAAATCGACGATGGTGTTATGTGAACAAAAGAGAATGTTATGGATCATAAGTGCTTGATTCATGTCCCGTTTCTCAAATTTTAGCCCTTAGTATAAAGTAGCTGACATTAACAACCTAGAGTTCAATTTCAGGTCTCGTAAATTAGAGTAGTTCATAATATCGCTCGAAAATATTGGACTTGGACAAATGAAGTAAATTACTCTTTCTGCAAGACTGTGGCTATCAGTAGCTTGACCCCTTCTAGCTCGGACATGTATGTAGTCCTGCTTAGGCGGATCAGGCGGCTGAGCGTTTTGCTCCGCCGGCTTGCCTGAACTGGTTTCCACTTCGGCTTTCAGCTCGCGAGTACTCTCATTTCTGCAGCGAGATGATGTTTTAAGCCGTTTCGCATCACAATCACTCTGCCAAGACAAAATTTGGAACAAAAATATGCAGATTTAGAAATTGTTCAATTAAAGAAGAGGACTAATTCCAATTACACATGTGTAGATATAGAAATTAGAAATTTCAAAGAAAATCACTAATCACAAAGTAAACAGAAATAGTCTGCTATAATTAGCAAAAAGCTAATCAGAGTTTTAAGTAAATAAACAATTGAATTATATATTGAATGAAGAATTATATATTGAATGAAGAAACAATAGAAATACCGCGCCAATATTGCCACTGCTTTTTGGAGACTCGTCGTCGGCCTCGCGCCTTTTCCTCGCGGCACCGCCATGCCCTCTCATCGGATTCGGATCACTACCGGCCAAGACGTCCCGAATCGCACCCGAGACGTCCCCAAACTGCGCGAAACTCTGCGAAAAGTTCGGCCTGCGCAGCCCCAAAGCTCCGCCGGAGTCACCGGCGCTCGCGCCGGTTCTATTCATCTGGAACTCCCACATCTCAGAGAAATTAAACGACGTCGCATTGGCGTTGGAGAACGAGCACTCGTTTACGAGCGTCGGCGGATCCATGTTCACACTCCGATCCGGTTCAAGTTCGGGTTTGGATTCGGATTAACGTTCGCATTCGCCGGATTCAAATAGTAAGTTCAAATAAATCTCAAAGTCGACGGATGTAGAGAGAGAAAGTGTTTGGTGCTGTGCGTGATCTCCTTGGACAGTGGAGGTAGGTGCGCACTGTGCCTACTGCGTACTGGAGAGTTTTACTCTTACTTTTCTCTTCCGCCTGCGCCTCTTCCTCCTCACAATTTCACAACACGCAAAGCACTTGGTTTTTTCATCGACAGCGACCTCGGAAGCTGCGAAGCGAAGTCACTTACAGAGAGAGCTTTTCTCGGAGCCTCCAGCGTTTCTCTGTCCCTTTCTTTTCATGCCCTCCGTCCCCCTCCCTTCTCTCTCACTCTTCTTTATGTAAACCTCCTCCTCGGTTCTCCACCGTCCGATCAAAGTACGATCCCAGTCAATCACATTGACGGTGGGGAGACACTTTGGAGCATTAGTCATACGATCACGTGAGATAAGAATTTTTAAGATACAAATACATTGTTTGAAACGGAATACTACTACGACGGTGTACCCAAAGTTGTCTCACCATGTGTGATGTTATTCACGTATTAAAATATAAATGGATTACAAGATTATATATCACTAGCCTATATTTACTTATTAACACGACTATATCAAAGGTGAACCATTGCAATAAAAAAAATTACAAGTACCAATGTAAACGCTCTCGACTACTTGAGTGACAACACTTTTACAACCCATGTATGCTATTACTAAAGAAGATATGTGTTATAACATGAATTAATCGTTAGTACCCATTGATGAAGTAAAAATTGTACTGAAAAAACTTCTTACTACAGAGAATATACAAATTTTTTTTAAGAACAATTTACACGTCCTTACAATCAAATAATGCAATAACAAGTGAAAAAAAAATTATACAAAATATTGTATTAGTAGACCGAAACACCATGACAGTCAAATTCAATCCCTAACGTGATCACTATTTCTTGGGTTATGAAAGATGGGGTGAAGCTGAAGTTTTCGCTGGCTAGCGCCGAGTAGAAGTTCAATGTACTCTCTTGTTTGAGGTCTCGGGTGACGATATGTTGATTATTAAGTGCATGGATTAGGCTTGTTTAATGCTTGATTAACGTAGCTTATGATCTCCTAAAAGGTGGGTTAGTGGGTTTTCTGTAGTTTAATCATTGTTCTGATTATGATGTGTGTTAAAGGTCTAATTAATATTAAAGATTCGACTAATCTATGTTGGGGGAGAATTGATTGGACAAGGTAGAGGCCCCCCTTAACTGGCCTATCATGATCGTTGTTTCCCAAAAAGGAAACGTTGCAATACCCTTTTTTGAAATTAGATGTTTATTTTTTCAACTAATCTCGACCTCAATCTTTAACCAAATATTTACATTAGGAATATCCAAATATCATTAGTGGATGTATGTTTTTAGGGTTTTTTTAATGATAGAGTTCATAAAATTTGAACATAAGAATTTTCTATAAATATCATAAAGATTGTGGGTCACTGGATCTAACGTTCATTTATGAATTTATGTCGCATATTTTAACCAAATGATATCCTGTATTTTCCAATTATATACTATAAAACACTCATTATTAATGAGCTTATGAAAAAACTAAAGGTGCATTACGACAACTAAAAACTTTTACAATCACATTTGACAAAAAGAATTAAAAGTGTTTTGATTAAAATTTATAGTAAAATGACTTATGAGCAAGTAAAAAAGATCTTAAATTATCTTTTTTTTTTTTTTACAAACAGTAGCATTAGTGAGTTTAATTGTTGGTTGTCAGGCGGAAGAAATTTGCAGAGATCAAACTTGCACTAAGATGCATAAACATCATTACTTTTCGTCATTGCAATAAAGAATCATCTAGTCTGCAACCTTAAATTATCAGTTAAGTTGAAAGAAAGTAGGGAGCTTTCCATTCCAATTTATCTCAATCCGTTTGGAATTCTATTCCAAACCAACTTTGACAGAGAATCATTACCCCTCTAGAGGAAAAGAATCAGTGACAGCAATTCTAGCACTCACCAAAAAAAGCTTCGAATTTGGTATACTCCACGTGCAAATATATATACATAGAGATATATAGAGGTGTGCATGAAATATTGGGCAGATGCTTTTTGGGTAAAATAAGATTTCCATTACATGCACATTTCTACTGAGCAAGTGTGCTTGTCTGTTGCTCGAGTATAGGATATAACCTAGGACCACTTCCCAGCAATACTTTCCTTTCCGTGACTAAAATGTATTTCTCACGTGTTAGAAAAAATATCAACAATATCCATTGCATATATGCATGAGAGCATGACTAAGGTAAATCATACATGTGAATGTTGATCTTGATCATTGATGTATGCAGAATTCGTAAAGTATTGACGGTTAGGATCACCATTCGAATGCATGGACGACAATCAGGATCAGTTTCTTGCATGCAGTGACGGATGCGTGTTGGGACAAGGTGGTTCCAGGATCACCTAGAGTTCAAGAAATACATTTGAAAGTCTTTTGAAGACCCTTCAAACGTTTGGTACGTGTCTTTTTTGTGCCTACCAAGTGTTTGACGAAATGCCTCTTGCATAGTGCTTCGACAACACTTGACAAAGTTCTCTCGATAGCACTCATCATATTGCTTCGGCATAGATCAATATCTTTTAACATGTGCGCAACTTGGTTAAGTTGACGATAACAAGCCCATCAAGTGTTCAACAAAATGCTAGTGAATAAATTGAATTTTTTTTTTTGAAGTTTCGCGCTCTGTTTCTATCTAAACAACTTTGGAACTATAACATTAGGACCTCCCAAAGTTTGAATCCTAGATCAGCCATTGCTTGCATGCATGCATAGAGTTTTTTTTTTTTATTTTTTATTTTATCCCTAAATAAATGTGAGATTTTGAAATAAAATTAGAGGCTTCGAAAAGGCTCTTGTACTCATTAGTACCCCTAAAGAACAATCATAAGGTCGGTCTTGCATGTGCGCAGGTTGCAGGTTGATAATGACGATTTATGCATTTGTAGCTCACAATGCATCCACAATTAAAATCATCGCATAATTAATGAAGCGTAACATAAATAAACACGTGAATTTGGAATCGGTTATTGGATATCGTACTCGTACTTATCTTTAACAACTCTTTGATATAGCAAATTGAAGTGGTAAGGTTGTGTCATTGGCCTGACCTAGTGTGGTATACATACAACACGCATTTGTCAAAACTCATAAGATAGTAATTGATGGATATGATGAACGCTTCGAGTACAAGTCGTGCCAAACCTTTGCCTCTTTCTACTATCAATTGTGGTTAGGCACGCGCAGTTGCCGGAAAGGATATGCTGCCCTTGCTCCAAGTAACTACCACACCTTAAATCGAGAAATTCAACTCGTGCAGTTAATCTATTTTATCACGTGCGTTGATTGCGACACTGGTCCTTTTTTGTCGTCTGTGTTCAATCCGATGCAATGGATATGGCTAACAGCTACCAGCACAGCAAAGGGAAATAAGTTTGGTAGCCTTGCCTTTTCAAAGATTAACAACACTGTGTCCTCTTCATCCATCATCATCGATATTGATATTTTAATGCGCTAAGTTAATATTTATAACTTTGTATTTGGATTTGTTACGAATGTAATGTTGAGATTAATTGATCGGAAATATTTTACTCTCATCATATTCCATTTTATGTTACTCTTCATATCGATGTCTCTTGATAGACTCTTTTCATGTTGTATTGCATAACATCGTAAATTTTTTTACTTTTAGAATTCAGTAGTATATCGCTTCTTCTTTAAAACCAAAGTTTACTGTTACATGGAGGAATTAGTTCAATTAGGCATGCCATGTGGGAGAATAGTAAAGATGGTCTCGAAATCACCATGCGATTTTGTGCCAGATGCTTGTACTACGAAATTTCTGTCGACCATTTTCTCTTTTGGGTGGATGTAGCAGTTTTATATAGTAAGTAGACAGATGGGATGTCACCATATGTGCGATACTATTCTCAAATCGTGAGCAAAATGAGTCATATTGGGGTAAGAGCGCGTTTGGTCGACATTTCATTTGAATTATTTAACGAAATGATACTCAATCTCTGCTTTGTTAATGAAATTCTAAATTTAAATTTCATAAACAAACAAAAATAAAAAAAATAAAAATTTGATGCTATTGATAAGATCCGCAACGATTATCAATTTCTGCATAACTAGATGATCATTTAAAGTTACCAGTTAACGACTCGTATATGATGGTTTAGATCGACAAAAAATTGGACCACTGACATAAAAAGGGGCTTAATGTTAAGGATACTTAAATGGGACCTAACTGGCCGTGGATGATAAAGTGTTTGATAGCTGTAGATGTCAGAACAATTTTATGGAATTAATATGCACCCACAGATTGTCAAATTTCAATCCAATTTCTTCAATTATGATTAATGATGGATATTTCAATGCTGAGGAAAAAGTAGTTGTATGGGGATATTATCACTCGCGGGTTTTCTTAATTGGGGAGTGATCATAAATTAGGAAAAAGGAAAAATTGATGAGATTTGACAAGTTGCATGCATAAAGCGTGTGTTTTTTACATCCTACAATTTTAGGGTCTGTTTGGAATTTGATTTTGTAAGACGTATGTTTACAACAAAGTCTTTTATGTTTGGGATTGTTTTCGTAAGATGATAATTTTTGGTGTATGTTTTTTCGTAGATGATAATTATGATATAGTGCTGTTAGATGAAACACATGTTTAATCTTTGATGGAAAGTGTTAGAATCTAAAAGTATTCGCTTAAGTAGGTTAAAGACAGAATATATAAAGTAAAAGCTTAGTGATAATGAAAGTCCAAATAAAATAAGAATAAGGATAAAAGATCAGAAAGGACTAAAGAATTGTGGCACATATAGAGTGCAAGTTCAGTGCAATCCTAACACATCCTTGCATCATATCGGTAATCGATTCTTTCCGGTTATCGAAAAAGGGAATTGTTATTAACATTCTAAAAATCTTATTTGACACTTCAAACTTTTCATAATTGGAAAGAAAAATACACTTGTGAGAAATGTAGAATGAAATTTTTGAAATGCTAATAACAATTTTTTTTTTTTTACGTTAAGAAAAAGGAGGAAGAAAACAGCTCGCGCTTAGCTGCACCACATTAATAATTTGGACTTTTAGCTAGCTGGGGCATATATCAGTATATCACAGTTGCAGTGTACGTCTGGAATGAAAGTACGTACTGGGTCCTGATTTCGACCATATTTTTCAGCCCAACGAAATGACATGTGGCCCAGGAGACACCTGGCTAACCATAATAATTCGAAGATTAGATATGGGGATTGGGATCCAAAACATC